AAATGGGATTCAAATGCAGATCTTCTAATTCTACAGAAATGTCTCACATTTTATACATATGTAATGTACTGCTTTGGGCTTGTTAGGCACTGGCTATGTATATGGTTATAACCTGAAAACATCATCACTGATACTCTTAGTTTGATGACGCACTAAGGGACATAATTAGTGAAACACAAATTAAATTAGATGAGGATTTTGTAAGAACTCATATGCTACACAGAATAAAGCAAAGACTCTCCAAGCTTTAAAACATTACTAAAGTATAATCAAGTCTTCAAATATATTTCAGGAAATGAGTTGTTAGAATGTTTATAATAGCTAATTTTAAAAAACCAAACCAAAAAAACCCTACCTGCTTAAATATACCAGTTCTGTTCCTTTCATTTAGTTTAGTTCAAATGCTAACATATAGGTACAAACATCATAGACGATGATAAAAAACATTTTCAAAGAAGCAGCTTGGGTTCTATGTATGTCATGGCTGTGAACAGGCAAACCTAATGCTACCCTCCTCAGCCCACCCCAAATCCCTTGGTCTGGCGAACAAGAACAACACAGTTCACAGAGGAGAGAAAATTCTGCTGACCCTGTATGCTTCCTTGATATCTGAATATCGTAACTGGAAAGTAAGAGAAAAGGAGAAGTGAAGAAGGAAACCTCACAAGAGGTCCAGGTGAATTTCTATTCCCAGCCATGGCCCTTTACTTCATGTATGTTACTATCTATGATAGTAACATAAATGATCAACATCACCATGATCATTGTTAAAGGCTGAACTGTGCCTTCCTCAAATTCATATATTGAAGCCCTAACTCCCAGTACCTCAGAATGTGACTGTATTTGGAGATAGTGCTTTTAAAGAGGATTATATTAAAACAAGATAATTAGGGTGGGCCCTAATCCAATTTAACTGGTGTCCTTAGAGGAAGAGGGAATTTGGACACATACATGAATAGAGGAAAGACGATGTAGTAACAGGGAGAAGACAGCCATCTGCATCCAGGCCAAGGAGAGAGGCCTCAAAAGAGACCAACCCTCTAGACACCTTGATCTTGGACTTCCAGTCTCCTGAGTTGTGAGTAAAGAAATCTCTGTGGTTTAGGCTACCCAGTCCGTGGTACTTTGCTATGCAGCCCTAGCAGACTAATATAACCAGAGTCACCCTGATCACCACACCACCATCAGCAGCAGCAGAGTGTCTATTAGTATTACCTTTACCATAACTGACAAAAATAGCCATTTATTGACCCTTTTACTAAGTTCTGGGCACCGTGTCAAGAACTGACATTTATCAGCTCATTTAGCTTCCAGAACAGGAAACTGAGGCTTGGGGCTATATACCTGATAAACAATGGAGGCTGACCTGAAGCCAAGGTCTGTCTGACTCCAAATTGTTTTTTTTCCTCTCTCTCACTTCTGTCTGCTTCTGAACAGATTAACATTTTAATTTAAGAAAGAGAATTTCTTAGAAATATCAGCAGAGTTAGTAATTGACTTCTAAAGGACTTTTGGTTTTTGGCTTCTCTAAGTTCTTTGATACCTTGTAATATGGGTATGTGCTAATTTCTTGAATGGGTTACATAAGTGGTTTATTCTCAGAACAAGCCACATCTGGTTTATATAGAGAATGTTTAAATTCATGCCCTGTAATCTCAGAGTCACTTTATTTCCAAAATAGAGGGGGTTTGGGGATAGAGCGATTGTGCTCTTTTACCGTGGATTTCACTCCTGTTACAGGTTTGTTTGGCTTCAGCTTTACTTTCAAGGATAAAACTGTGTACTGGGGGTCTCAGGTTCCCTTTGTAAACATCAGCCAAAGCATTTGCTCACCCAAGAGTAATAGAAAATATTTGCTAGGTGAGTCCTGGAAATGCAAGATTTTTAGAAACTAAATGGTTTTTCTCCAGGAAGAGACCTTAAAAATATAGTCCAACTCCCTTTTTACAAATTTGGACACTGAGCCCAGGACAGTCAAGCGATTTGACAGAGTCATTCCCAGGTGTTGCTGTGG